GCATATACTTAGGGATTGTATGTAAAATTAATTCTCTAAATTTTATACTCTGTACATACTTGTTACATTATAACAAACACTAGTCTCACGCCGTATTACAGTTAGTCAGTGACAACTATACTAGCTGTGTCTGTATTTGTTTATGCAAGTTGTGTGTGTTTGTATTATACACATGATGGGAATATGTGTATTATTATCTACATACATGTATATAAGTATAATCCTTTGGTTTATATTAGGAGTCACTGGGAGAGTGAAGTGGGACAGCGACAGTGTATACATTGACTCTCCATCTTCAGTTCAGTGTAATGAAGTGATAAATAATATTGATAATAATCATGAGGTGATTTTTGTCCGCTCCTCATCTACTAATAGTACAGTATCTCTACTATCATCAACTAAACTGTATACACTAAACCTGAGGAGACTTGATATATGGTGGACTCCATTAACTAATGATTGTATCCAGTGCTTGTGTATGCTACTAACTAATAATAAAACAATACAAGAACTAGTCATCAGTTTTCACTCCATTAGTGATAGAGGAGTTACTAATATCTGTCAAGCACTTGAACACAACTCTACACTTACTTTATCAGATCTTTCTAATAATCCACTCATCACTTCTACTAGTGGACAGGCTCTTTCTCACCTCCTCCTCAATAACTCATCACTAGTTGAACTGAATCTATGGAAGACTTCATTGTCTACTGAGTCAATAATACTCATCCTCCAGTCACTAATGGAAAATAATAATATAAGGGCACTCTGGCTAAACGAGCGACACAAAGATACTTATGTCAATACTTATCCTAACTATCACCTCATACAAGGCAGAGTACTCTGGGTCTAGTCAGTCTTTGTGTGAACTTGCATGCAATTGTGTATCTTCACCAAAAACAAGCAACCAATCAGAATACACTATACATAAAAGGCTGATCTGTTTTTTTTATTAATTTTGAATTTATTAATTCTAGTATTTTTTGATATACATTATTATAATCTCATTCTAATTAATTAGCGTGTGATTCAGTTATGCTAGTCCTGCCCACAAAAAGTGACAACTAATTACAGAATGGCTAAGGCTGCGAAGTGGCTGAATGCTAATTTGGATTATATGAAGAAGGTGAAGTCGAGCATATCAATGGTGTATGGCCTAGTTTTCTAAAATTTCAGTTAGTTTGTAGTAATAAAAGGAAACATTACGGTAAACTCGCTCCACCCAGGGGTGTGGTCAAGTTCGCCTATATAAGGTCCCCTCACC